CACTTTGGCATCGTACTTTCGAGTGTTATGGTGCCTAAAAATTCTGTAGCGACACTTAATACTCTATTATACAATAAGTATGGATATGATATACAAAATTGTGGTGATGGGACTGAGTGTTGTGGTGTTAAGAATCTAACTATATGTATATATATATATATAATACAATAAGTATGGATATGATATACAAAATTGTGGTGATGGGACTGAGTGTTGTGGTGTTATATATATATATATTCTCCACTCACCCGTCCCTCACTCCCCTCAGCTTCGCCCAGCTTACGTGAGAAGAAAATGGGAGAGGAGAGGAAGGGATAGAGAAGGACATTCAGGGCACTTTTATCCATCAATTTTATTGAGAGATTTCTCCTAATCATTGTAAGTAAGACAAATCACATTTTAGTTTTCAATAATTTTGAGTTTGATGGATTTATTCTCTCAAAAATCAATAAAAATATATTTTTTTCTCCAAATCTATCAGAGTTTTAAAGTGTAACTTTTTGTATCTGATTGATACAAATTATACATATATTTTTGCTATAATATTATGAAATTTTAATTAGTAAATTATGAGTTATGATTTCTAAAGCTATAAACTATATATATTTTGTACTGCATTTTATATATATTACATTTCATATAAATAAATATGGCATTTGAAATAAATGTAAAGAAGGCTGGCTGTCAACACTATAATTAATACAAGTTGGCCTTTAAAACATTAATAACCTACGTAAGACAGTGGGCCAATGAGCTTTCTTTTAAAGATAGTTTGTAATGTTATCCCGATTGTAGCCTTTTATTGATAATTAATTATATCGATGGACAGGGAGTGTACAACTCTTTATTGGTTTAATAAAAGCCGCATGTAATGATTAATATTGTATTGATAAACGATAAGTATGATTGATATGATTAATGATCAACTGGGAAGTAGTTGGGCTTAAAAAGATGATGAAAACACCATATTAAGTTAGGATGTCTTGCCTAGCTAGCTCATAATATTAAGTAAATATGTTTTGATAGTGTTCATAGATAGAATTCTAAATTGCATCGATAACATTGATAGATAGATCATAATGGGTATATGTACTACATATGATACAAATGATTTATAATTGATATAAGAGATAAGACTGATGATATTAACACTTGTACATTATAATTTCTTTATTGATTTATGAATTATTTTTGTACGATTTCTTTATGAATTTATTGATTCTAGTATTAACTATTGATTCACTGAAATAATTTTTTACTTTTATTATTGATCATTTTGAGTCTTACAAATTGATAATTAATCAAGAATAAGATTGAATGATATTGACTGAGTTGAGTATGCATATTGATTCTTCAATTCGTATATTGAAAACTTCAATAAATTTGAGTTATTGTTGTACTTTTTAGCTCATTATATGAATTTTAATAAATTCAAGTCAGAGAAGGCGTCAATACCAATTGTAGATAGATTATCATAGACCTTTAGGTTTTCTTTTGCTTATGTTTGTATTTAATTTTGTGTAATTTTTGTAGTCAGGAGCCAATGATAGGGTATTGATTGTATTAATCTCCTCAATACTGTATATTAATTCTGAATGAATGAAAATTATAAGACATTTTAATATATATGATTATTAGTTGCTTCCGCTGTATAAATTTTTATTGATAACATATAAAAGCTCTTGTAGATGAGTAAAATAAATAAATAAATAATTCTTTCAATTTTGATTATGGGGTGGGACACCCTTTTAGGATTAGCCATACTTTCGGTTTTAAGATTTGTCCTAACCTAGTAATACACATCTTTACCCAAAAAAATTAATTTTTTTCAAGTTTTTTCTCTTCTTAGATTTTTCTTTCACCCGAGATATTTAGTTTTTTTTATATATATATAATGAGTATGGAACATTTCAATCTATCAGGTGTTTGTATCACTGCTAAATGCCTTAACTTCTAAGCTTAATAGTTAATAATTTTAGTTATCTTCCCTCATACTATTGCATTTGCACATATATGAGCTTAATCAACATAAGATTGCCTGGGTAGGGTAGGTCAACCTTTAATTTCAAGACTTAGTCTGTGCGATGATAAGTTTATTATAATTGATTGGTGGCAATTCATCTAATGATGAAAATCATTTTATTTTAACTAAATCTCTTATGACTTTTTAGAAATACAAATAGCCTAGGTTATATCACATTAATCTTATTTTTTTAAAAAAATTGACTATTACTATTGCGTCCGAGAATATTCGCGGCGGTAGAGAAACATAAATTTTAATGCCGTAGCTTTGTAGGAAGATCTAGCATTCAATCATATAACAGGTGCAGTATTTATAAGAGACCAAGATTTTCACATGGAAAATCCTAACAAAGGAAAAAACTATGGGTCTTATCCAGTTTGAATGAATCAACTATTATTTGCAGTCAATTACAAATGTGGCCTTTCCTTGGGGAAGGTTTTTGCCTAATGTAATACATATACATCATATAAAGTGAATTACATGATTGGACTTGAAATAATCACTATTGATATGTTTGTTTGTTCGGCAGAACCATAGTCGCAAGTGATAGTGGCTAGAAAGGCCATTATCAAACGACGGAGGTTGGAAGGACTGAAGTCGAAGGGAAACAATGGTTAGAAAGATTGTTGTCTGGTTAAAGAGTTCATAAGGACGTAGTTGGTTGGCTATGGAGGTCGGAAGAATTATTGACGGGTGGAACTCTAGTATCAGGTAGAAGTTCGATGAAAGTCTGACGATTGGAAAAAGTCAGGAGACGGACGGAAATCTGGCATCGGGTAGAAGTCTGACGATAGATAAAAGTCTAAAAATGGGTGAAAGTTTGACATCGGATAGAAGTCAGACGAAAGTCCAACAACAAACATAAGTCCGACAACTAGCAGAAGATTTACATTGGGTAGAAGTCCGACTAAAGTCTAGCGATGGGAAGAAGCCCAGTGATGGGCAGAAGTCCGACGTCAGGTAGAAGTCCTGCGATGGATAGAAGTATGGCGACTAGCATAAGTTCAGCGTCGGATAGAAATCCATCGATGGGCGGAAATCTAACGATGGGTGGAAGTCCGACGTCGAATAAAAATCCAAAGACTAGCCAAAGTCCGGCATCAGTTGGTGGCCGAGCAAAAATTCAGCATCAGTTGGTGGCTGGGGAAAAATCCAATGTCTTTTGGTGCCCGAGGAGAAATCTGGCGTCAGTTGGTGGCCGGGTAGAAATCCGATGTAAGTTGGTGGCCGAGCAGAATTCCGACGTCGGTCAGCTATTTGGAGGAAGATCGATGTCGTTCAGTTGCAGAATGGATGTTCTACGAGGGTTGAAGAGTCTGGTGGCAAGATATGTCAAGCTTCTCTTCTTTGCTTAGCCCCTTCTTCTACCTCTTGCTTCATGCTTGGGCCCGTTCTTCCTCCCCCTCAATGAAGAATGAGAGGACTATTTCTAATTTTCTGAGAGTGGCATGACCAATAAATAGGAGGAAGAACAAGTGTGAATTGGGAGTGATTTGAATGGACAACCGATGTTGAATCCCTAAATTATGAATTGTTTATTGGGCATTTGTATGTCTTAATGATGTTAGAATTTGACAATCTTGGGCTTGTTAGATTCATCTCGTTAAGCCGCTCGATTCGACTTTAAGCATGCTGTGTTTGGAAACAATTTAGTAGTCCAAATTATGAATCGAACCTTTCTAATGTGCTCCAGTTTTAGATTTGGACCCATTTATGCTCGGATTGAGCCGAATTTGGTATCGTTGGGTTTCTATTTTTGGGACGTTCAATTTGACTGTAATTTTGCTAAAATTAATTTAGATGGTCTTTGATTTAATTTTTGAAATTTTCAACTTGATTTTGCATCGAGATTCATGTCCAATCAAGATAATTTTTTGATGATATATCAATTATATATATATATATACACACACACACGATGAATCTCACATAAACTAAATAGTTATGATAGACCTTTACCATGTCCTGTCCTTACTAGCAAATTGAACTATTTTCCCAACTCATAAAGATCAATTTGATATTTTTTTCCTAAGTTTCTTAAATTATAAAAATATCAATCGTTATAAATAAAGAAAATGGATCATATGTACGGGCCACAGCGATTTTGCTCGGTATTAATGGGAGATTATTTTGTACAGACACCAAACACAGTCTAGAAATCAACTAGAATGCGCCACATCACCCCTTCACTCGGTACTCTGACATGACGCATTCTGATTGGTCTTAGAACGACATTCTATGTCCGATCTCTGCACAAAATAATTTACCCACTAAGGGCTATTAAGGATCAAATATAAAGCTGATCCAACCCAGATTCAAAATAAACTAGAAACCATTTGATATGAACTCAAATAAAACAATATTTGATTATAAAATGGCTCAATTTAACTTTAATTACTAAGATATTCTTAGTCACCTAAATCCAAATTCGATCCAAATTAAAAATTAGTCCAATCATTCAGTGTAAAGTAAGACCTGCTCACACCAAGCACATCCAGTTAAGAAAGCATGGAAGCAAACATAGGTTGAAAACTGCTCAATGACCAACCTCATGGTAGTAGAAAAAGTTTGATTTATGTTTCGTTTTGAGGCGGTTTTCTTACTGCATCTTAAAATAGATTTCTAGTTAAAAAAATTTAAAAAAATAATAAAAAGCCGTCCTAAACGAAACATTAATTTCATTCAACATGTAGTTTGGCGATAAAACAAGCACATATAGAAAACTAACTATTCAGGGCTACTAAGTCACAATTCATTTCAGCTCTCTTAGCTTTTACTTGAATGCCAAGACTTCTAAGAGCTCAAGACAATCCGGACAGTTTTGCCTACTAAGGCTTCGTTTGGGACGACTTTCTTACTACTTTTTAAAACAACTTTTTAATACAAAAGTCATAATTTTTGAACTCAAAAGCTGTTTTAAGCAATAAAAAAGCCGTCCCAAACGAAATCTAAGATTTCATCGCACAATAAAAACAACTAAAGCAACAGTATTTCAATTTCAACGTTCGTTTTGCGGATTTCTAACAAGCTCTATGCCAGAATGACTGCAGCTGGATTATATCAGGAAAGTCAAGTATGCTTAAATGTCACAACTCGATTGTAGCTGGAATTTGATATCAAGGATAGTTGAACTGGTCCTTCATTAGAGTAGAGATAGGTGACTTAGGAAATGGAAGCAGAAAAATATGCGCAGAAGTGCAAATATGAGATGACATCTGCTTCATAAGTTTTACTCATCGTACTAATCATCTGATTTATCCATGTTCTTTGAACCATTATAGGTTGAAAGAAAGAACAAGTTCTGATTTTTTTGAAGGAACCTGCAAGAAAATTAACATAAATTATAAACGCATGAATTTAGAAGTACTTTATTGCCAATCCTCTACTTAAGCCTTGTCTGGTAGCAGAACTCCTTTCGTAAAATTTTGATGAGAAACAGTTGTTCCGAAAAGGCCTTTTACTGACGGAGAAGCAAAAAATAAAGTTTTGAAAATAATTAAGATAACTGAGTGTTTAAAAACACAGTTTTATGAAAGTAGACTTTCAAACAATGACCAAAAGTATTTTTCACGTTTTGAAATGAAAATGGCACTAATTAAGCCAATCCCAAACGAGGCCTTACTCAATATCCATCATTCCATTAGTTCCATTAGCAGATAGCGAAAGTTTACTACAACGTTGCTAAAATACTTCTGTAGCCAAGGAAAATGGTAAATAGTAAAGAGAATGCTATCAACCTCTACTTATCAACTCAAAGGATGAGCAAAACAGATCAGAAATTTGGAAATCTTGCAATCAATATGAATAATGTTTTATTTTCTAACCTCCAATTTGTATCAATCAGAAATTAACTCCGCAAAATTCTGACCAGTGCAGTTGCAATCATAGGGACAGCAATATAAAGGCTATTCTGTTTTGATCCACAATTTGTTAACTGTCAGCCAAAAAGGCTGATTTGTTTTGATCCAAACTTACGTAATTGCGTCTCAGTTCAAAAACTAAGGCAAAAGCATATGGTAGAAATTTGATAGAAGAAAGCTCCACTTTCGAATTCACTTTCATAAATTCAAGAACAGAGTTCCAATCATGAGAACATAGAAAGTATCTTCAATTCTCTTTTCATGTAATTATAAAATCATGTAAACTAGCGATATAATTAGTCAATTAGATCTCACTTAGGATAATTTAGGTAGAAGATGCATTAAGAAGCCAAGCAAATAGAGTTAACATGGATGAAAAAGAAAATCAGTAAACAACATATAAGATAACTAAATTATGTGCAAAACTAGTTGCATGGAATATAGTTAACATCTAAAATAGCACTCATCACGAATGAGTGAAAGAGCGTTTGCTACATTGACCCCAGATATTTAGAATAAAACTAATGACAATTATGATGAGAAAGATACAAATATTCATTCTTTGGAGTGCATCTTCTTTATTGATAGTTATTTGCATGCTTTAAATTATTATTTTTTCTTTTGCATGGGAAAAAAAATAGGGAAGAAGATTCAAGATTGGGATTAAATCAAAGTAGAGATAGAGATGTAAATTTAACTATATAGTACTAAGTAAAAAAATATTAGAGCATTACTTGAAAATGATGGCATTAAGGATAAAATAATTGTAATTTCAAGATATTATCATTCAAGTCATTGAAATAAATTTGAACGGTTATAATAATGAGCCTGCAAAAAATTGATATATCCCTATTTAAAAGTTAAAAATATATATCTAAAGGTTTAGATGGAGGAAATTGTAAGCATACTTCAGAAGATCTAGAAGCTTCTGCTGCAATTTGCCTAATGCATCCTCTTCCATGTTGACATAAGACAGCAATTCAGGTAATTTAACTGCAACGTAAGATGAGAAAAGTGTGAACATAAAATAAAGAGTGGATGATAACTGATAACAACTGAACGAAAAGAAGCTCCCATAAAATAAAAAAAAGATTGAGGTGCATCATTGGTTGCCCAGAAAATCAAAATATATTCCAGTATCAAATGAATAATTTAAAAGACTCAATATATTGCTTTCCCTGTGGACCTGAGGATAGTTTGATTGCAAGTATTTAGAATTCAGTATGTAATGTATTTGAAATACTAAAGATTGTTTAATTGAATGTAAAATAAATTCACGAAATCAATTCTTGGTGTCTTTCTAGAAGAAAATGAATTTAAATTCTTGTATTAATATATTATTTTATTTGTTTTTTTAAAGATTTAAGACACTGAATGTCATTGAAAGGCCGATGTTGTCAACGGTGTTGGAAGAGAAGGCCAAGGATGGGAGAGATGGAAAGATAGAACCAAAAGGTCACATCTAGAAACCACAAAGAGGAGTCCGCTGTCCACGACGATGAAAGATCAATGTGGAGATGGCAACTTTGTGAATGCTGCGATGAAGCAAGAACGGGGATGTCAGGAGGTCAAGCAGCGAGGCAAGGTCCCGGCACAGCAAAGGCTGGTTCATGTGAGATGAATTTGGAATTTGTCTGAATCAAGAGAATTTTGAATTTATGAAAAATAAACTATTTGGGGGTATTCAAAGCCCCTTGGATTTGTTTTACTCAATCAGTACTCAAAATTTTAAAAACCTTACAATTAAAATACAGTGCATTCAAAGCATCTACAGAAAAACAGCGCCAAGAAAATTCAAGGAAAAAAAAAAATTCAATGGACAACACAAAAGAGATAAATGTTAGTAACTTTAAAGACTTTTCATTGAACCAACATTTCGGGTTAAATGAATAGGTCGTGGAAAGTTAAAATTGTATAATAAGTTCGGGGATGCAGAATACAAAAGTAGACGACATGATGATGACAATGACAATAGTATATAGCATACATGTGTTTATGATTAAAGGCTAGAGGGAGAATCAACATCTACTTAGACAAAATCATTGCAAAAGCACAATATTTTTACAACAACATTAAGCCTTCCTCCCACCATGTAAGGTCAGCTATATGACTCCTTTTTTCTCAATTTTGCCCTATTAAGAGTCAAATTCTCATTTAAATCTAATAAAAAAAAGATCATTTCTAATATTTTCTAACCAAATCCTTTTAGCTCTATCCCTATCTCTCTAAAACATAGGCCAAATCTAATACATCTACTCTCCTAATCAGGTCATCAGAAGGCTGATGTTTTATGTGACCAAATCATCTAAGGCGACTCTCTCTAATATTATTAATTGCCACTGGAGCTACTCCAACCTTTTCACGTATACACTCGTTTTGCATTCTATGACTAAAAGTAAAGCTACTCATCCACTTGAGTCTTTAAAATAATATTTAAAAGCACATCATCTTAAACAATAAATATTAATTTTACTTGCAGCTATAAGCCTATCCCAAGAAATTAATGCAACTATACGATTAACAAGATAGAAGTTTTCCACTGACTTTTGAATATATTAGAAAAGCAACCTTGCACCCTGCACAATTTAAAATCTATAGCGAGATCCGAATTTATAATGGTAACATGAATCCAACCACGGAACTGGTGGAAACGTAATAGACCATATGGAAGTCTCCCCTTTGCCCAGTTTCAACATTTTAAATTCAGTATATAATGTATTTGAAATACTAAAGTTGTTTGATTGAATGTAAAATAAATTAACAAAATAGATTCTTGGTGTTTGTCTGGAAGAAAATGAATTTAAATTCTTGTATTAATATATTATTTTATTTGCCTTTTTAAATACTTGTATTATCAATGACGATAAAGGATTCATGTAGCAGATCCCACGTAGTGGGACAAAGGCTTGATGTTGTTGTTGTTGTATTTGTAGACATGGAATTCCTTTGAAAGGACAATGTGATCAACGGTGTTGGAAGAGAAGGCGGCGAAGCAAGGATGGGGAGAGATGCAAAGAGAAAGGAGAACCAAAAGGTAACATCTAGGATGACACAGAGAGGAGGCAGCAGTGCACTTGGATGAGATATCAATGTAGAGATGGCAACTTTGTGAATACTGTAATGATGCAAGCACGGGGATGTCAGCAGGTCAAGAGGCGAGGCAAGGTCCTGACCACAGCAAAGGCCGGTTCATGTGAGATGAATTTGGAATTTGTCTGAATCAAGAGAATTTTGAATTTATAAAAAATAAACTATTTGGGGGTATTCAAAGCCCCTTGGAGAAATACCTTAGATTTGTTTTAGACATTTAGTCAATTAAGTAAAAAAAAAAATTTCAAAAACCTTACATTTAAAATACAGTGCATTCAAAGTACCTACAGAAAAACAGCGCCTTCAAAATTCAATAAAAAAAAAAAATTCAGACAATAAAAAAGAGGTAAAGGTTATGTTAGAATTCATAGAATTTTAAGAGAGTAAAAATACCTTCTGCTTATTATACAAAATTATCCCTATTTATAGATCTATATAAGATGTCTTAATAAAGAAATAAATAACTTCTAATTTATACATAATTGCCTCAATATAATCCTTCCTAATTCAGCTACTCAAATATAAAAGGATATTAGCGTGATCCAGGTGAGCCTCCCACGGATTCTCATCTTGACCGTGGGATCAAATGCCAAGGGATGATTGAGATTTTGACACTCCCCCTCAAGCTGGAGACCAGCTTGCAATTACTCGCTCAGAGGTAGAGCTGCATTGGTTATAGATAGGATATCAACCACAAGAGAAAGCCGACAATGAAGGCCGATGATGGAAAACTATCCTCAAAATTCCGACAATTAAGGACGATTGTGGGAACTTGTATTCCTCAGAATTCCAGCAATGAAGGCCGGTAGTCGGAACTTGTATTTCTCATAATTCCAGCAATGAAGGCCGGTAGTGGGAACCTGTATTTCTCAGAATTCCAGCAATGAAGGCCGGTGGTGGGAATTTTGTATTTCTTTGGTTTTCAGCAATGAAGGCTGTATTTATAGTAGCAATAAAGGTTGATTTGATCAACAATAAACGCTGATTTGCTTATATCAACAATAACGGCTGATTTGATCAGCAATAAAGGCTGATTTACTTGTATCAACAATAAAGGCTGATTTGCTTGTATCAGCAATAAAGGCTAATATTAGATCTTAATCAAATCTTAAATCTGATTTAAGACTTCTTGCTATTGTCCGCCCGTCCAAGAGCTTCGTGTGGCTTTTTCCCAAATGAATCCGGAAAAAAAGAACAAACGAGAGTGTTTAGTCCCGCACCGTCCCGTAGGTTCCGTCGGGTATTTGACTTCATCGGAACAGCTCCGTCCTTTTGAAAGCTTTGTCTTCGCGAGGCTTCGATCGTCCCGCATGGCTCCGTCTGTCCGCGAGGCTTGAGCTTCTCCGCAAAAGATCGAGACTTCCGGCTTCAGCCTCAGGCTTCGGGGTTTAATATTTGCGTAGCGGTCGGTCCGTCCGATCCCATCCCAGATCGAAAGCTGAGGGAAGGCCGCATTCGTCCAGAACAATAGGCAGCTTCAGGCGGTGTTTGTTTTTTTCGACTCCGTCTACTTGCGTTCGTCCGAGTCGGAGCAACATTCGCAACGTCTGGCAGCTCCGATTTATTATTCTTCTTCATTTCCTCCGTCGATTCTAGGATCGTTCTTCAATCAGCAATGAAAGCCGTTGGTTCTGATACCATGTTAGAATATATAGAATTTGAGAAGGGTGTAAATACCTTATGCTTATTATGCAAAATTATCCCTATTTATAGATCTATACAAGATATCCTAATAAAGAAATAAATAACTTCTAATTAATACATAATTGCCTCAATATAATCCTTCATAATCCAGTTACCCAAATATAAAAGGATATTGGCGTGATCCAGGTGAGCCTCCCACGGATTCTCATCCTGACCGTGGGATCAAATGCCAAGGGATGATTGAGATTTTGACAGGTTAGTAACCTGAAAGACTTTTCATTGAACCAATGTTTCAGGTTCTAGTGTAATGAATAGGGCATGGAAAGCTAAAGATTGAATAATAAGTCCTCAGATGCATAATAAAATAGTAGCAGACATGGTGATGGCAATGACAACAGTAGCATTCATGTGTTTATAATTAAAGGCTAGAGGGAGAATCAACATCTACTTTAGACTAAATCATTGCAAAAGCACAATATCTTACAACAAGAATAATAACATCAAGCCTTCATCCAACTATGCGGGGTTAGTTGCATGAATTATTTTTTCTCTATTATGTTTTGTTAAGAGTCAAATTCTCATTTAAATCTAATAAAAAAAGACATTTCTAATATTTTCTAACCAAGCCTTTTTAGGTCTACCTCTACCTCTTAATATAGGCCAAATCTAATACATATATTGAAGTAGAACTACATATGAATGCAATGAATTTTGTAAGATCTTGCACAACTTTTGATTAGAGAATAATGAGGAAAACTACAAACATTTAAAGCAACGGAATAAAACGTAAGAGGGGTCGCGCCCGCTTAGGCTAAGTCATATAACTAGAGATTTGAAACTTCAAAATAAATTAGAAAACAACATCATGCCAAAATAGTAGTTTCAATAAAAATCCCTAATCTAACAATGAGAGCTAGAAGCAAAGAGGTACGCTCAAATCCCTACGTTTACTAAGCTTAGCAGAAGCAGGCAAAGGCGTCCTTCGTGACTTCAATCAAATAAAAAAAAAGTTAGACTTAAGAAACACAAGAGTAGAGAACCTTCGTCAAGGACCGGCAGCGATCCTCCACTCGACGATCTCTAACTGCTCTTCAATAGCTTCCACCAAAGTATCGAAGATGCGTTCAATGTAATCTTCAACGGTATGATCGATCCTCGAGTTAACGTCAAAGAACGTTGAATGGAGAATGTGCACGAAGCCATGTTCGTCGTACTCGAGTCCGTATTCAGTGTCGGGATCAGACATTCATGGATGCTAG